TGAGGGCGGGCACAAGCCGGCGTGAGTAGGTTAAATGTTGAGTTTTATAAGGGCACCACGGGGTGACCAGCCCCTCCCCACCCAGCCCCACCCCTCCTACCCCCCACCCAGCCCCACTCTCCCCACCCAGCCCCTCCCCACCCAGCCCCTCCCCACCCTCTACACCCAGCCCCTCCCTGCACGACGGACGGACACAATAATCCCCTGTGGGCTGGTGTAACCAGGAGGTTCCTACCAGTATAATTGTGCTGACCCTGATGATGATGCTACTGCCGAGACTGATGATGATGATAATGATGCAGCTGATGATGCTGCTGTTGTTGATGATTGTGATCATGATGACGAGGATAATGGTGCTGACCCTGATGATGATGATGATGATGCTACTGCCGAGACTGATGATGATGAAGATGCAGCTGATGATAATAGCAATGCTTTTTCACCTGATGATGATGATGACCATAACGGATCCCTTCAGAGCTATTGTGTGTTTCCTATGGAAACTCACGGCTGACTGAATGAATTAAAGCGTTTAAAGTTCTTGCAGTGGGGGGGAGCAAAACAGGGGCTGTAATGATAGGCGTTGACAGTAAATTGCAGATGCAACACACTCATTAGGGCACAGCAGATGTTCCACATGCACACATACGCACACAATTCAGAACGCGCATGGACGTGTTTATTGTACTCACAAACACATACGCACATGTACCCGTGTAGAAACAAAGACAAATATCCCCCGTATAGCCTTAACAGATTGTTGGGGCAAGTGCTGTTAGCGAGCACCTATGAAGGTCGGCACAGCCCACGAGGATGAGAGGGGGGGGGGCAGCACCACACCGGGCCGCCTTTGTCTCCCCAGTGCTGATGTATACACACCGCACGCACCGGATACTCATTTGAGGCTGAGTCGACCGAGTCGTGGCCCAGAACCGTTTGGTGTTGGTTGGTATTGCGGTGATCTTTCTCGATGCTCTCTCGTCCTCGTGATGAGAACCTCGACATTAAAATGTAGCTGTTGAACATCTTGCCATACGCCAGGACAGACCCAGGTGAGATTTCAAAAACTATAAACAGGTTTTTTTTCCTTCATTTTACCAGGTAAGGTTCACTAAAGTTCATCTTCTTGGTTCTTTCGGTAAAATCACGTAGAAGGGAAGTAATAAAATAATAAAAATAAAACATAATAAAATAATTCTCACGACGTATTGTGTTTTATTTTTATTATTTTATTACTTCCCTTCTACGTGACTTTACCGAAAGAACCAAGAAGATGAATCCCTGCAGTCACGAAAGCTTTAAATCGAAATTTCACTAAGGTTGTTTAGCTTATTTTGCAGAAGCGACCTGGCACATCACAGATGATGACCCAACGAAATGGGCTCATCGTTACGTGGAAATGTATGGCAGCCAAAATAGCTGTGAGAGCACGTTGATTCAAAAATGTGGAGGGGAAAAAAACCGGTGGGCCCGGAGAACAATCCACGCGAACACAGCGAGAGAGACACGCAAACTCCAAATATACAGCAGCAGGCCTCGTGGTCGGAATCGAACCCACGACCTCATGTAGACCAGGCGAGGTAGTTGACATCTCCTAGCCACCGTGATGATGATGAGAGAGACACGCAGACTCCAAATATACAGCAGCAGGCCTCGTGGTCGGAATCGAACCCACGACCTCCTGTAGACCAGGCGAGGTAGTTGACATCTCCTAGCCACCGTGATGATGATGAGAGAGACACGCAGACTCCAAATATACAGCAGCAGGCCTCGTGGTCGGGATCGAACCCACGACCTCCTGTATACCAGGCGAGGTAGTTGACATCTCGCCACCAGGATAGAATGGCAAACGTCTTTACATACATTTTAGACGTTTCTTGTCTGTTTTGAATAGCCTTGTAAACGGACCAGGATGAGTTCCTAATTTTGCAAGAGTAACTTGGATGACCAAAGTGACAAAATGAATAACACAAACGCAACATACCACGATTACGAAAAAAGAAATCAGCGCGAAAAACAACTGCTTTGCAGAAGAAATCTGAAAGCAATGCACAAAGCAATATTCCTACACATACCACCAGACCCATCGCTTAATAACAAGTCGTAAATAAATAATAATACACCGTTTAGTGATCGCCATCATGGAATTATAATCTAACCATCATTTAGTAATCGTCATCATCATGACCAATAATTTCATAATTACGTGTTAAACCAGTAATAACAATCTAATATCGATTTAAAGCTTTTGTGACTGCAGGGATTCATCTTCTTGGTTCTTTCGGTAAAGTCACGCTGTCTCCTCGACAGACCTGGTCTTCACCTGAGGACGGCTGCTTGCGTTGTGGCCGAAACGTCGTGAGAATTATTTTATTATATTTTATTTTTATTATTTTATTACTTCCCTTCTACGTGACTTTACCGAAAGAACCAAGAAGAACAATCTAATAATATCATCACGTTATCATAATTTAATGATCACGATTTTTGTATCCTGTTTTTACACTGCAATAATAAATATTATTAAATAACCATAATGTAATACTAATTTTATCAATATATCATAATAATTGAGTAATCATAATTTAGTCATCATTTTGAAATAATCATTTAGTAATCATCATAATGTCGTAATCATCATTGAGTAATCACCATTTAGTCATCATCTTTGAATAATTTCGTAATCATCTTTTCATTAATCATCATCTAATCGATTCGTAATCATCACCATCATTGAGTAATCAAGATCAGTGAATGTTAACTACCTCGCCTGGTATGCAGGAGGTCAAGAGGTTCGATCCCGACCCTGACGCCTGCTGTACATTTGGAGTTTGCGTGTCTCTCTCTCTCCCCGTGGTGAGATGTTAACTACCGCGCCTGGTATACAGGAGGTCGTGGGTTCGATCCCGACCCTGACGCCTGCTGTACATTTGGAGTTTGCGTGTCTCTCTCTCTCTCCCCGTGGTAAGATGTTTACTACCTCGCCTGGTGTACAGGAGGTCGTGGGTTCGAGTCACGTAGGTATAAAAAAAATATATATATACCTACGCGACTTTGCTGAAAGAACCAAGGAGTATCATCCATACTCTCTGTTTCTTTCGGTAAAGTCACGTAGGTAGAAAAAATAATAAAATAAATCACGACGTTTTAAATTAAATAAATCATGACGTTTCGGGCGCAACACAAGCGTCCGTCATCAAGAATGATACTGGTAGGAACCCACTGGTTCCACCAGCCCACAGGGGATTATTGTGTCCGTCCGTCCGTCGTGCATCCAAAAATGGGAGGAATGGGGCTGGGTGGAGAGGGGAGGGTGGGGAGGGGCTGGGTGGGGAGGGTGGGGAGGGGAGGGTGGGGAGGGGCTGGGTGGGGAGGGTTGGGAGGGGCTGGGTGGGGAGGGGAGGGTGAGGAGGGGCGGGTGAGGAGGGGCTGGGTGGGGGGTGGGAGGAGTGGGGCTGGGTGGGGAGGGGCTGGTCACCCCGTGGTGCCCTTATAAAACTCAACAACGTTTAACCTACTCACGCCGGCTTGTGCCCGCTCTCACAGTCGGCCATATTTGCGGAATACACCACGCCGCCGTTGACCCTGGCCATTGACCGAGCAACCCAACGTTCCTACCAGCTCCCTCCGCAGGAATGTGTTATCATCCATAAAAAAAATGTGGGTTAGATCGTGTAAATATAAATGTGTGGTTAAACCCTCCACCACCCGACACAGCCAATTACTAATGTTTGTCACGTAAACAGAACGTCCCAATTCGTTACGAGTACAGCAACACCGGTGTGTTGGAAAGCTAATCCACAACATTTGCAATCTGAGTACGACGCTTTGCCAGTAATCACAACGAGCGTCATCAGGCGGAGAGTCAGATTTATGGAGAAATCCTCCTGTTTAGTTACTTGCTGTGGTTTTCACACCTGATGATGATTGCTTGTGTTGCAATCGAAACGTTGTGAGAATTGTATTTTATATTTTATTATTTCCCTTCTACGTGACTTTACCGACAGAACCAAGAAGATGAATCCCTGCAGTCACGAAAGCTTTAAATCGAAATATATATTTCGATTTAAAGCTGGGGGGGGGGGGGTCAGACATTTGTGACGATGTGTGACGAGGGGGGGGGGGGGTGAGAAATGTGACGTCACATCAAAATGCGCAACTTTAAATAAATATAGACAACACGTTCTACTTAATTAAAACGGCTGTTTTAATAATAATAAAATTCTCCTACAACATCAGAGTGCAGCAGCGTCACATTAAATACGCACTACAATGACAATAGTTTAAAGCGATTTGAAGCATGTTTTATTTGGGGGGGGCAGAGCTTTGTGACGTCATATTTGAGGGGGGGGCTGACTTTTTGTGACGTCGTGTCACGAGGGGGGGGGGGTCAAAAATCGTCCAAAATCGCGTGACGTCATTTATGGACGGTCCCTTAGCGAGTAGCAGCACCTATGAAGGCTACCGGCACTGTGGCACACGAGGGGGGGGTGGGTGGCCAGCACCACGCCCGGCCGCCTTTGTCTCCCCTGCGGCGATATTTTACACACCGCACCAGGTACTCATTTGAGGCTGAGTCGACCTAGGGGAGGCCCGGGACCGGTTCGGATATTAGTTGGTGGCCGTGAGCGGGAATCGAACTCGGGGCGCTAACCGCTGCACCACCGCTCCAATTCAAAAGCAGCCGCCATTTTCTCACGAAGTGACGGTGACGTCACCACGGCGCCCGTGCCAGGCTAGGTGCACTTTGAGGCCACGTGAAGTGTCGAAGGCTCGCTGGCAGGTCTCGGGACAAGGTGCAATGGCTGTGCTACCTGGTAGGTGTGCCAAGCCAACTTTCTGTATTTTATCCGCCCGGCGCTCCGCTCGTTGTTGTGAGCGTCGCTCCCCCCCCCCCACCCGCTGGCACCGCCCCCTTCCTTCCCCATCAGCCAATAGCAGTGCGGGACGCACCCCACGTGACCGAGTGGAGAGAGGGTGGGGCGGGGGGCTCTGTCCGTGTCGCCACGGCAACGGGCGTGTACATAGACAAAGGTCCCCCACATAGCCCCGAGCAGACCTTCGGGGCAAGTGCAGCTTAGCAAAGTAAGCAGCACCGATGAAGGCCGTCACTGTGTCACACGAGGGGGGTAGGGTGGCCATCACCACGCCCGGCCGCCTTTGTCTTCCCCAATGGCGATGTTTTACAAGCCGTGCCAGGTAACAGCAGCGCGCTAACCGCTGCACCACCGCTCCCCACCCTATAGCAACACTCCCCCTCACCCAACAGCCAATAGCGGTGGAGGACGCGCGCCACGTGACCGAGTGGGGAGGCGGGGCTCTCGGTGTCGTCAAGGCAACGGCTTGTATACAAATTCGGTCACTCGCTGTTCGCAAACTCTTTGGTTAAATGTTCCTCATTTTTTAACGAGGGAATACAAAACATTTGTTAAAAAACCACATCGCTCGATAAAGAGTGAGGCCCCCGACATCGAGATGAGCGAGTCGGTGCTCGCAGAGCTGCAATGGGACGAGGGGATGGCGATCCCAGTCGCAAACGAGGAAAACAAAGCCTTGGAGATGGAGGTAGGCCCTCGACTTTGCAGCCTGTCATTTGAATTATTTAAAATATATATCTATAGAGTGATGTACCTGTTAACAATGCGTACGGCTTCACCCCGTGTTCTTGTACAGGAGGAAATTTAGTTTTTAGGTCTATGCCGCGTACAGCCGTTTTAATGCGGGGCACAAAAAAAGTGTCTATTTGTCTGTGTCTCTCACTTGTGATGGGAGTTTGTAGGATGAACGTTGGTATTTATAAAGGGGCATGAGGTGATCAATAGGGTCTGAATTGGTCTGTGATAAGGTAGGGCACTGATAAGGGGTTGACAGGTGTGCTACTATACACTACACTATACACTACACTATACGCTACACACTACACTATACACTACACTATACACTACACTACACACTACACTACTATACACTACACTATACACTGCACTATACACTACACTATACACTACACTATACACTACACTATACACTACACTATACACTGCACTTATACACTACACTATACACTACACTATACACTACACTCTACACTACACTGTGCACTACACTATACACTACATTATACACTACACACTACACAATACACTATACACTGCACTTATACACTACACTATACATTTGCACACTGCACTACTATACACTACACTATACACTACACTATACACTACACTATACACTACACTATACACTACACTGCTACATACCTGAATATGAGAATAGGTTTTCCCCTTTTTTATGGCAACGAAACAGCTGTGTCATGATGTTAAAACACCAAACTGAAACCTTTTACAAGGAATTATGTCTGCATTGACCACAATACTTGCGGTCAGAATGCAAACAAAAAACGTCCTCTGGTCTAACACCGTTTGAGACGAGGCTCAAAAGAAAGCTGTCTCTGGTGTGGACCAATCAGTTTCAAAGACAATTCATATATTATCAGAGTCATGTTTTTTGTTTGCATTCTGATCACAAGTATTGTGGTTAATGCAGACGTGATTCCTTGTAAAAGGTTTCAATTTTGTGTTTTAACATCTTAACACCTGTTCTGTTGCCAGAAAAAAGGGGAAAACCCGATTATCATGTTTTGATACTGGCAAAGGAGATCCCATGATGATACTACACACCTGTCAACCCATACGGTTTGCCCGTATTCTTGCACAGGGGAAATGGAGTTGTCAGGTCCGTACAGAGCACAGCCGTTTCAATACAAGGGGGTGTTTCTCACTTGCGATGGGACTTTGTAGGATGAACGTTGCTATTTATAAGGGCACGGGGTGACCGCTAAGGTCTGAATTAGTCTGTAATAAGGTACGATCTACATTTGTAATACATTTCGATTTAAAGCTTTCGTGACTGCAGGGATTCATCTTCTTGGTTCTTTAGGTAAAGTCACGTAGAAGGGAAATAATAAAATAATAAAAATAAAACATAATAAAATGCAATTCTCAGTGTCATTCAGACGCTGTCTTTCCGACAGCCCTGTTCTTCACCTGAGGACGGCTGCTTGCGTTGTGGCCGAAACGTCGTGAGAATTGTATTTTATTGTTTTATTATTTTATTATTTCCCTTCTACGTGACTTTAAGGAAAGAACCAAGAAGAAATACATTTTACAATGTTGCGTTTTTAAGGTGCATTAGAAAGTGACGTTTACGAGATGCATCAGAATCGGAATAATTTATACTGGAGGAGGAATCCGATGAGCTATGAAGCTCTTTTTCGCAGATGTCCAGCAAGGGCACGCCACTCACAACAACATCCTATTTCCCCCAGTAAATAGTTTAGGCGCAGCCATGCAATTGCTTTCTAACGCACACCCGCCGGTGAAAGTAGCCTCCGCTATAGAGGTGCTATAGAAGGTGTTTGGCCTCCTCTTCCACGCTGCCCAATAACTCACACTCTACCCCGAGTACAGTCTGGTATGAATGCAATGAGTGCATTCGTTAACTGAAATTGCCTGGCGTATTTTTGCGCGGATGAGTCAATCGACTCAACGAATGCATCCTTTATCCGCGGGTTATCCAAATGAATGATTGCAGCGCAAGCGGGTTCATAACCTCACATCTGCATTCATCCGTTCGTCAATGAATGCATTCACTCATCGTCTTGGACTACGCGGGGAGTACTCACACTTTACCCCACCACACCAGAGGTCGCAAACGGGTTTTGATTCCTTAACCGTACCCGGCTGCACCAGGGTCGCAAACGGGTACCCGTACCCGTACCCGGCCGTACCCGTACCCTACCCGTACCCGACCGGGTACCCGACCGGGTACGGGTAGCCGGGTATCGGGTACCCGATTGCGACCTCTGGGATGAAGCCGTGTTGCAGGCGCGGGTGGGTTGATTCTAGGAACTTGAATTGTGAGAAGAGACAAGACGTTGGGAAATGAGTGACAAACTGTTACTCACCAGTGACTCACGGTCTACCCGTACCCGTACCCGGCCGCACCAGGGTCGCAAACGGGTACCCGTACCCGGCCGGGTATGGGTAGCCAGGTATCGGGTAGGGTACGGGTATCGGGTACCCGGTTGCGACCTCTGCACCACACTCACAGTACCTGTGGGTCGACTAACCGTGGTGTGCCTGTCTATGCTGCTGGGTGGACAGAGGCGGGGATGTTTAAGAAACGTGCAGCATTGTTTAAACCGCCGTTCCGGGAGATGGAATCGAACCTATAACTTCTGGATTGCAAGTCTACAGGTTTCGCTCGCTCTATGTGCGCGTAATTTTGCGCTGTATATTCGGCCAGCATGTTTTTACCACAAATCCGCTGGACGGGACGTGGTTTGAATTCACTCAGATGCGGCTATGCGGTCGGACGTGAGACTACATGGTGTGCGTGTGTACTGTGTGTGTACTGTGTGTGTACTGTGTGTGTGCTGTGTGTGTACTGTGTGTGCATAACCATCCCCCATAATGATAGGACTGTAATAATGACAACAGTGTTCTTGTGTTGGCGTGGCAGTAATGCTTGGTTCTGTCGGGTTTGTGCTGCTGCTATAGCTGCAGAAGCGACTGCAGGAGAATGTGTCGATGGAAGGGGAGAGGATGGAGCAGGAGGAACGACTTCACGCCATGGTGGAGCATCTCAAGAACGTGAAACAGGAGTTCACCAACACGCAGGTGCTCACTCATTCACTCGGATCACTTACTCGCTCTTTCATTCACTTGTTAACTCACTCCATCACTCAACCACTCAAGTCACTAGCTCATTGACTCACCCACTCATCCCCTCAATGACACCGTCATTCCCCCACATAACACATTCCTGCAGAGGGAGAAACGTTGGGTTGCTCGGTCAATAGCCAGGGTCAACGGCGGCGTGGTGTATTCCACAAATATGCCCGACTGTGAGGGCGGGCACAAGCCGGCGTGAGTAGGTTAAACATTGAGTTTTATAAGGGCACCACGGGGTGACCAGCCCCTCCCCAACCAGCCCCACCCCTCCCACCCCCACCCAGCCCCACCCAGCCCCTCCCAACCCTCCCCTCCCCACCCAGCCCCAACCTATCCACCCAGCCCCTCCCCACCCTCCCCTCCCCACCCAGCCCCTCCCTCCCCACCCAGCCCCTCCCTGCACGACGGACGGACACAATAATCCCCTGTGGGCTGGTGGAACCAGTGGGTTCCTATCAGTATTAATTCACTCACTAACCAAAGCACTATCCCATTCACCCCGTCACTCGCCCACTCACTCGCTCGATATATAATCCTCTCCCTGGCTCACTTGCACGCTCCCTTACTAGCTCCCTCACTCACTCATTCGTAAGCTCAACCACAGACTCACACACTTGCCAAAACCACACTACAGTAGGACGATGGCCCAGCCTTGTCTTTTATTGCTGCTGTGTTCACACAGCACCACGGCTCTCCCTTGTAACATAGCCCGTCACCTGGCGACACGGGATCTTCATCCGTGGAACGGATGAAGCAAACTCAATGATGCGCACAGTTATGACAGGGAGCCGAGTGGAGTCAGAAGGCACTTTCGCCTTCTGACGTCTTCCATCTTGCAGCGCTATATCAAACGCAGCCGGGTTTGCTCGAAAACATCGACGTCATATAAGGCAATCACGTTGTGCTCGTACACAAATGGCTATTTCAGCTTTGCCCTCGCTATCCATTGAGTCGATGAGCCCCACAATAACAGCAGCCGGGGTTCTACAGTTTAGTTTCGATACCTTTCGCCAGACTCGTACAAAGGATACATGTCTGTGGCCCTAAGACACTCATGCCCTGTGGCTTTCTTCTGTAAAATTAGCAGACGTTAGCGCCACATATTCTGGCTGGGAGGCATCCTTTGAATTTCTGTGAGTGCAGCCTTATCTGTATGATAAGCGGCTAATAACAAAGACATTACTCTGAGAGACCAAAAGAGGAACGCGTGGATTGTAGAATACATACGAGGTTAAAGTCTTCATTTTGACGTTAAGAAATTGTCATGATGTGCTCGGGCAAGGCACATCGCTGGAAGTGACGATGGGCGGTGCTGAGAATTGCACCGGAGTGGAAGCAGTAAGAGGGAGTGTGTTCGAGGCGTGTGTTAGTCTCATTCTAAGGCCATACTTAAAGTGCACATAGCCTGGCACAAGTGCTCTGGTGATGTCACCGCCACATAGTGACGAATGGCGGTTGTTGTTGTTGTATTCTCGCTGCGTGTGTGTGTGTGTGTCTCGCTGTAGTGCAGCGGTGAGCGCGCTGCAATGCGAAACCAGCCGGCAGAGCCGAGTTCGATTCCCGCTCACGGCCACCAACACCGAACCAGTGCTGGGCTTCCCCTTAGGTCGACTCAGCCATAAACGAGTATCTGGTGCAATGTGTAAACATCGCCACTAGGGAGGCAAACACAGATGGAGCGTGGTGCTAGCCACCCACCCCCTCGTGTAGCGTGTCATTCTTAACAGCTGCTCGCTAACAGCACTTGCCCCAACAGCCTGTTAAAGGCTATACGGGGATTTTTTCGTCTTTTGGGGGTTCGCGGTTAACACACACTTGTCGACTAGCATAGCAATCCCGGTTCAACTCCAGTCGGTGGCTTCCTTTACCCACAACCAAGCCACGTACCTTGCTGGCCACACCTACCGCTAATCCAATGTGCGCCGGGTCTTCATAGGTGCTCGCTAACAGCACTTGCCCCAACGGTCTGATGAGGCTATCCGGGGGGTGGCGGGTGGGTGGGGGTGGGGGTGGTGGGGGCGGTGGGGGGCGAGCCTTTGTGTTGGCGCGTGTCGCTGGCGCTCGCAGGTGCTGTGCCGCGCGCGGGAGAAGGAGCTGGAGACGGAGTCGCACTTCACGACACTCGCCGAGCGAGAGGACGGGCGCCTCAAGCAGGAGCTGCGTCGACTCGACGCGGAGATGCGCGACGCGAGGGAGCGGCAGAACAACCAGCAGGTGCAAGCTCACACACACACACACGCACACACGCACGCACGTGCGCGCTGGCGTGTGTGCGTGAGCGGTAGTCTAGCGGTTAGCGCGCCGCGTTACGAACCTGGCGACACGGGTTCGATTCCCGCTCACGGCCAACACCAGTGACGATTATCTGAATCGGTCCCGGGTCTCCCCTAGGTTGACTCAGCCTCAAATCAGTACCTGCTGCGGTGTGTAAACATCGCCACTAGGAAGACAAAGGCGGTCGGGCGTGGTGCTGGCCACCCACCCCTCGATGTACCGTTCTGGCCTTCATAGGTGCTCGCTAACAGCACTTGCCCCAACAGTCTGTTAAGGCTATACGGGGGATCTTTGTATCTTTGTACACACGTGTGCGTACGCATACGCGAACACGCTACGATGGCTTGAATAGCCATGCACAGGGCTCGGCAACCAGCGTCTCCAGAGCCGCGTGTGGTTGATTACCGTCGGCATAATAATTATTTTATTCTAGACTTGAAGCTTTCGTGACTGCAAGGAATCATATTCTTAGGTGTTTTCAGTAAAGTCACGTAGGTAAAACATCAAAATTAATAAAAATAATAAAATAAAAATAAAGATCACGACGTTTCGGAGGCAACACAAGTCTCCGTCATCAGGTGGGACAGTCACAGCCAGATTAGCTGCATCAAGTGAGGCCTACACTTGATGCAGCTGATCTGGCTGTGACTGTCACACCTGATGACGGAGACTTGTGTTGCCTCCGAAACGTCGTGATCTTTATTTTTATTTTATTATTTTTATTAATTTTGATGTTTTACCTACGTGACTTTACCGAAAACACCTAAGAATAAAATTATTTTATTCTGCTGACGATAATGTTATTGACGATGATGACGACGATGAAGGAATTGACGATGATTATGATGATGACAACGATCATGAAGGCAGTGACCATGATGGAGGCAATGACGATGATGGAAGTATCGGCGATGATGAAGGCAATGACAATGATGACGACGATGAAGGCATTTCAAATTACGACGACGACGACGATGAAGGGGATGACCGCGACAGCCGCGACGATGACAACTTTTGGCGGTGCTGGTGGCGGCCGCAGAACGAGCTGTTCCGGGCGACGCGCCGGCTGGAGGAGAAGCGAGCGGAGCTGCGCTGGGACGAGCTGGCGCTCGACGCGTGGCTGGAAGAGGCGGCGCGCAGAGACGAGGACATCGAGGCGCTGCAGAGATACGCACGGCTCGACGAGGGCAAGATCCGGGTGAGGATCGCTCGCCCGCCCACCAGCCTACACGCTTACTCGTCCACTCGCTCACTCGCCTACACACTTACTCGCTCACTCGCTCACTCGCTTGCTCACTCACCTACACACTCACCTACACGCTTACTCGCACGCTCGCTCGCTCGCTCACCTACACGCTTACTTGTCCATTTGCTCACTCGCTCGCTCACTCACCTACACACTTGCTCGCTCGCTCACTCGCCCACCCACTCACCTACACGCTTACTCGCTCGCTCACTCGCCCACCCACTCACCTACACGCTTACTCATTCACTCGCTCACCCACCCACTCACCTACACGCTTACTTGTCCTATGCTCACTCACTCGCTCACTCGCTCACTCACCTACATGCTTACTCGTCCACTTGCTCGCTCGCTCACTCGCCTACACACTTACTCGTCTACTCGCTCACTCACCCACTAACTCACCTACACACTTACTCGTCCACTCGCTCACTCACCCACTAACTCACCTACACACTTACTCGTCCACTCGCTCACTCACCCACTAACTCACCTACACACTTACTCGTCCACTCGCTCACTCACCCACTAACTCACCTACACACTTACTCGTCCACTCGCTCGCTCACTCACCTACACACTTACTCGCACACTCGCTCACCCGCCCACTCACCTACACGCTTACGCGTCCACTCGCTCGCTCACTCACCCACCCACTCACTCGCTCGCTCACTCACCTACCCACTCACCTACACGCTTACTCGTCTCACACGCTCGCTCACACACTCACCTAAACGCTTACTCGTCTCACACGCTCGCTCACACACTCACTTACACACTTACTCGTCCACTCGCTCACTCGCTCGCTCACTCACTCACCTACACACTTACTCATCCACTCGCTCACTCACTCACCTACACAATTACTCACTCGCTCGCTCACTCACTCACCTACACACTTACTCACTCGCTCACTCACACACTCACCTACATGCTTACTCGTCCACTTGCTCGCTCGCTAACTCACTCACCCGCCCACTCACCTACATGCTTACTAATCCCACTCACTCGCTCACAGACTCACCTACACGCTTACTCGTCCGCTCGCTCGCTCCCACACTCACTTGTTCACACGCTTATCTCCATGCTTACTCGTCCACCCGCTCGGTTACCGACCCACCTACCCACTCACTCACCTACACGCTTACCTCCACGCTTACTCATCCACTTGCTCACTCACCCACTCACCTACACACTTACTCATCCACTCACTCGCTCCCTCACTCACTCACTGCACTCGCTCGCCCGCCCACCCACTCACCTACACGCTTACTCATCCACTCACTCGCTCCCTCACTCACTGCACTCGCTCGCTCGCCTGCCCACCCACCCACCCACACGCTTACTCATCCACTCACTCACTCACTGCACTCACTCTCCCGCCCACCCACTCACCTTCACGCTTACTCATCCACTCACTCACTCGCTCCCTCACTCACTGCACTCGCTCGCCCGCCACCCGCTCACCTACACGCTTACTCATCCATTCACTCGCTCACACACTCACCCACGCACACACACTCACCCACGCACACACAGTCACACACCCACTCACGCACGCGCCCACTTAAGAATGAATATGCTGCCACCATTGATGCTGATGATACATTTTCTGCCACTTGATGATAATGGTACTTTTGCTGCTGATGATGCTGATGATGCTGATGATGCTGCTGGTGGCTTCACTGCTGTGCCTCTGCGCATCATGACACGTGGTGCAGGAGCTGATGTTGAGACTGGACCGGCTCACGGATGAGGAGTCTCAAAAGAAACGATCCCTCGAGAATGAAGTCACGGAGACTGTGATGACGCAGGTGACTCTCCAAACACAACTTTGTGCGTGCGTGCGTGTGTGAGAGTGTGGGTGTGTGTGAGAGTGTGTGAGAGTGTGTGTGTGAGAGTGTGTGTGTGAGAGTGTGTGTGTGAGAGTGTGTGTGTGAGAGTGTGGGTGTGTGTGAGAGTGTGTGTGTGCGTGTGTGCGTGTGTGTGTGTGTGCGTGTGTGTGTGTGCATGTGTGTGTGCGTGTGTGTGTGTGCGTGTGTGTGTGTGAGAGGAGAGTGTGTGTGCATGTGTGTGAGAGTGTGTGTGTCAGTCTGTGTGTGAGCTCTACGAAGTGGCTCATCGTGTGGACATCCAAAGCAGCAAATATAAAATACCACCAGCGGTGGCTTTGCTCTCGCGCTGCCTGCTACTGCGTCCGGGGCTCCGGCTGACGGAGGTTTCTTTTCTTCATCTTCCCCGTTTTGCCTCCTGCAGGTGGAGCTGGACAAGGCCGCGGAAGAGTTCCGCCAGGCCCATCGGGAGCGGCAGCAGCTGCTTCAGCAGTGGGAGGAGACGATTCAGCAGATGCAGCGGAGAGACCGGGACGTCGAGCGCTGTGCGCTGGTGCGCGCCGCCCTCCGTCACCTTACCCCACTCGCTCGCTCGCTCGTTCGCTTGATCGATTGATCGCTCGCTCGTTCGCTCGCCCGATCGATCGATCGCTCGCTCGCTCGATCGCGTTCCCCCGGTGATGGTGATAGGCCAGCGTCTACGCGCATGTGGTTTAAACACAAAGACAAAGGTCACCTATGTAGCCTTGAACAGGTACCTATGGGGGGAGCGGTGGTGCCGTTCGCGGCGCTACACAACCAGGCGACCCAAAGTTCGGTTCTAGCTCATGACCAGTCAAACAGCCAACGCCAGTGACGATTATGTGAACCGGTCTTGGGCGTCACCTAGGTCGACTCAGCCTTAAATGAATACCTGGTGCGTTGCGTAATCATCAGCACTGGGGAGACAAAGGCGGCCGGGCGTAGTACTGGTCAACCACCCCCTCATGTGCCATGTCGGCCTTCATAGGTGCTCGCAGTTGACAAACCGATATCTGCACACTTACACGTAAACATACACAAGTGTGCGTGTCAGTGGACATGTCACATCCAGCAGGGAAGGGGCGATTGGTGTGAGAGCAGTGGATTGGTACAAATCTGGCCGTACTTCCCACAATGCCCAAGTGAAAAGCCACTTTGCGATTATAGTGACATCCATAATAAAGTTTTATTTGGGTTAGATCGCGTATGTATAAATTTGTCTTTAGATTTAAAGCTTTCGTGACTGCAGGGATTCATCTTCTTGGTTCTTTCGGTAAAGTCACGTAGAAGGGAAATAATAAAATAATAAAAATAAAACATTAAATCAAATTTCCATTTAAAGCTGTCGTGACTGCAGGGATTCATATTCTTGGTTCTTTGGGTAAAGTCACGTAGAAGGGAAATAATAAAATAATAAAAATTAAACAATACAATTCTCACGACGTTTCGATTGCAACACAAGCATTCATCATTGGAAGGATGTGATAAACCATTTCGGGTCTTGATTGATTGTGTTCACGTTTACGGTGACTTTCAGACCGCGTTCCATTCTCATTCTCTCCCCCCTCCTCTGTTCCGAGCATCGATGGAACCGGTCCGTCTGAACAATGCCAGTCGCTGTCCGTGTTGCTGACGTTAAAAAAAAACGCCACTTTTTTCAAAAATTATCTTGCCGTGGTTTTCACACCTGATGATGATTGCTTGTATACTGTTAGGTTTTTTCGGTAAAGTCACGTAGGTAAAACAATGCAATTAAAAGTTTATAAAAGTTATAATGGAAATAAAATAAAATAATAAATCACGACGTTTCGGAGGCAACACAAGTCTCCGTCATCAGGTGGGACCGTCACAGCTAAAATTACTGCATCAATGCAGTAATACGTGACTTTACCGAAAAAACCTAACAATATGAATCCTTGCAGTCACGAAAGCTTCAAATCTAGAATGATTGCTTGTGCTGCAATCGAAACGTCGTGAGAATTGTATTGTTTTATTTTTATTATTTTATTATTTCCCTTCTACGTGACGACTTTAGCGAAAGAACCAAGAATATAAATGTGTCGTAACCCTCTACCACCCGACACAGCCAATTAGTCAGGGATTTGGCAAATCGCCCGATGATGATGCTGGATGTAATTACAAGCGCAACGTCGTACTACTCAAATTGTAAATGTCGTGGATTTACTCTCCAACACACCGGTGGGCTGAAATAGTCAACTAAATGGACTTTTGTTTACGTGGCAAATCTCTTACTGATTGGATGTGTCGGGTGGTGGAGGGTTACGACACAACATTTATAATAAAAATAAAACAATAAAATAATTCTCACGACGTTTTGGCCACAACGCAAGCAGCCGCCCTCAGGTGAAGAACAGGTCTGTCGGAAAGACAGCGTCATTCAGACACTGTCTTTCCGACAGACCTTCACCGGAGGACGGCTGCTTGCGTTGTGGCCGAAACGTCGTGAGAATTATTTTATTATGTTTTATTTTTATTATTTAAATTATTTCCCTTCTACGTGACTTTCACGAAAGAACCAAGAAGATGAATCCCTGCAGTCACGAAAGCTTTAAATCGAAATACAACATTTATACTTGTGCGATCGAACCCAAAAAAACCTTTATTATTAATAATATTGGTTGCGAAAACCCACTACGTTATAGTCACATCGCCCACATGTCTAGACTTTGTCCACTGCCCCTGATGAATCCCCTTCTAATGCTGCTAGACGTCATTACCCACTCTGCTTCTACTTATTCCACTGCTTCTGCTGTTTCTTTTTTGGCTCCTGCCAATGCTGCTGCCGCTACTGTTTCCCCTCCTTCCACCGCTCCTGCTGTTTACTGCTTCCGCTCCTCTGCTGCACCTGCGTCTTCCCCTATCACCGCCGCTTCCACCGATGTTATACAACCGCTGATTACGCTTATCCTCCTGCTGCTACTGTCTGCTACCGCTGCTTCCGCATTGCCGCTGCTGTTTTTTCTTTTATTCCTTCCCCTGCTCCCCCCTGTCTCTTCTGCTTCTGTTGAATCTTTATTTTAAAAAATGTTTCCGCTCCTTCATCTTTTGCTTCTGATGCTCCCTGTGCTCCTACGTCCGCCCCCTGCTGATTTTGCCACTTCTCCTCTCCTCTCTCTCTTCCACTCCCACCGCTCCTGTCCCACTACTCCTGTCCCTCTCCTCCTGTCCCACCACCCCCGCCTCTCATCCTGCCGCCACCGCTACCACGCGGCACGCTGCGACCCCCCCCCCCCCCGCTCTGCCCTCGCGCCACCCAGGACCTGGCGGAGGCGCGTCAGGAGCAGCGCGGACGCAAGGAGCTGCTGCGACAGAAGCGCGAGTTCCTAGAACGCGAGGCGGAGAACAACGCGGAGCTAGAGAGGCGCACGGCGGGCAGCGAGCGCCTCGCCGCAAAGCTGCGCCGGGCACTGCTGCAACTGGACGGCGCGCGGGAGCAGCTGCACGACCAGGTGCGGCGGACACGGCGGGGAGGGCGGGCACGTGACGCCGTCGCATTAAAACTAACGATAGCGTGTTGAAGAATCGCAGTGACAAGACTAACGACGTGTGTAATGCGAGCGTAAACGGGGTTCGCTGCTGGGCTCTGGCCCAATCATACGGGCCGGGGTATTGGGGGGCGGAGCCCGGTATGGGGGGCGTGTGGGAGGGCCCGCCGTTCACCTCGGGTCCAATCGGAAGCGAGGTGAACGGGGGTGGAGCCAGCGGGGCGCTAAGGGAAGGCCGGATCTGACGGTCCGGAAGGGGAGGAGACAGGATCACGTGGTGAAGGGGATATAGGTGGGAGCCCGGAAGCGCTCCGGGTCAGTTGGGAGAGTCACGAAGCTGGACCACGTTGGGTAGCCGGAGGGGATCCGCGCCATCAGCCACGTGGCTGCAGGAGCTTCGGCACGCCGTGGGCCAGCGGTGTGCGGAGTGGGGGAGCGGAGGAGCTGACGAGTGAGCGCGTGCGGGGCGCGCGTGAGGAGACGCTGGCCCGCTGTCGGGACCAGCGGGGTGCGAGCAAGAAGCTAAACAAAGAGCAACGGAAATCAGCAGTGTGTGTGACGAAGTCCTTCATTACATATATATATACTATTGAAACGAATTAAAATAAAATCTTGATTTGAAGCAGGAATCCATACTCTTTGGTTCTTTCGGTAAAGTCACGTAGGTAGAAAAATTTAAGATCGCGACGTTTCGATGGCAACACAAGCAAGGAAAAACTGCTGCTTTTTTAAATCCTTTATATTAAGTTCGCTTACTTGCTTGCGTGCTTGCTTGCTTTCTTACGACCGTGCAAATCTTTCGGTCGTTTTTTAACACACTTCCCGTGATCCAATCGAGCTGACATTTTCCACACAGACTCGTTGTGCGTGACAATTAATTTTCGTGAAAAATTTTTCAAAAATGTTACACTGTTTAGGGAATTTTTTTTTCAATATTTAATTACCAATTGCTTAATGCTGGCAGACAATCATCTGACCCATAGGTAGCAGCCATCTCAAGCCAGAGGACGAGAGGACTCTAGCCGCCACGCATATAAAGGATTTAGAGTGAAAAACTTTGTTTTTACGGGTTTACTTGTTTCTTGCTGTGGTTGTCCCACCTGATGACCATTTGCTTGTGTTGCGTTCGAAACGTCGTGATCTATTATTTTTCTACTGAAAGAACCAAAGAGTATGAATTAAAATAACATTGTGTGTATTGTGCGTGTGTGAATGGAGTAGTGTAGTGCTTTAGCGCGCTGCCCTACGAACCCGGCCACCCAATTTTGATTCCCGCTCACGACCACCAACACCGGTGAAGATTACCTGAACCGTTCCTGGGCCTCCCCTAGTTCGACCCAGCCTCAAATGAGTACCTGGTGCGATGTGGTGCTGGTCACCCACCCGCTCGTGTGCCGTGCCGGCCTTCATTAACAGCACTTGCCTCAACCGCCCGTTAATGGTACATGGGGTGGTGGGGGATATCTGTCTCTCGTCTGTGTCTTGTGCTTGGTGTGCAGCTGGAGACCCTGAAGGGCACGGTGGAGCGCACGGCCACTGAGCTGGAGAACGCCCGGGCACAGGTGTCGAACCTAGGCAAGGAGGTGCAGGACAAGACGAACCGGTGGGCGCAAACTACGGCACCACCCACGGCACACGATCGCTGCATGCTTCATATTTGTCTCACGTTATTGATGGATTCAGAGTGCTGGCATGGTATCATGCACCACGCTCTGTGCTGGGCAGTCAACTAAAAACTATGTTTTATGTTACTAGGTAAGGCCCACTGGGCTGTACAGTGTTTTTGTTTTGACGCGACCTGGCTAACACAAATGATAGCTCAACGATGTGGCTTATCGTCGTGTGGAAATGTATAGCAGCAGCAACAATACTCTGAACGCATGATGTGGATTCTAAATGTGTGGGAAAAAACCCGGGGGGGGACCGGAGAAAAAATCCACGTGACCATGGGGAGAGAAACATGCAAATTCCAAATATGTAGGAGTCAGGGTCAAGATCGAAGCCACAACCTCCTGTATACCTGGTGAGGTAGTGAACATCTCGCCACGGTGACTAGATGTTGTTTTAGTGTACACCGTGTGCTGTACGGTGTTATACGATACACCGTGCGCTGCTCTGTATGGTGCTATAGATCGTGATGATGATGTTGGTGGGGGTGGTGGAGGGGGATGATCGGTTGAGGGGCCCTCTCAAGAGTAACGCGTCGAGCGAGACCACCGCTTCGAGTGTGTTGGGGCGATGAAATATCGAATCCGCACCATTTGCAGGCGGACCGCGCACTCCTTGGCCAACGCAGAGATGAGAATCCTCGCAGCGTCAAACCGCGTACGGCCGAAAATTCGCACTCCGTGTTCCCTGGAAAATGTACCTCGATAAGTAAAATCGTGCACAGCTGAAGCATGCCTTCGATTAAACAGCCTTGGGTAAGGTGTGACCGACTTTGACGGCCGATACCTGGATCGTGAAATGGCACAATAATGTTGGTGTTGGTCTCAGGACACATGAGAACGAACACTTGCACAAGCGCGAACAGCAGTTTTCGTCCGGGCTGATGCCACGTAAAAAATCCCCCAACTTGGAATTAAAAATTAAAAAATTTACCCGTAAAAACAAAGATTTTCACTATAAATCCTTTATATGCGTGGCATCGGTTTTATTTTATTATTCATTTCTGTTTTTCTTGAGTAAGAGTTTCATTTTTATCATATTGGTATTTTAAATTAAATATGAAAAAATTTTTTCCCTAAAAAGTGGAAAATTTTGGAAAAACATTTTTCACGAAAATAAATTGTCACGCACAACGAGTCTGTGTGCAAAATGTCAGCTCGATTGGATCACGGGAAGTGGGTTAAAAAACGACCGAAAGAATTGCACGGTTGTAAGCGCGCAAGCAAGCAAGTGAACTTAATATAAAGGATTTAAAAACGGTGTAAACTCCACCAACAGATGGCTCTGTAGAATACTATTGGGCTCAAAGCAGGTCATATTTTTTGGTCACAGCTTTCGAGCGAGATCAGGGTACCCGTTCACATTCACCAGAAGTAATCACAACGTTTGGTGAATTGGCTACGGTTGCTCAAGGCTGTACGCTCGATTCTGTCTGTCGGATGCTGTGCACTGTGGTGATTGTATGCTCTGAGCCAGCAACGAAAATAACAAGAACAGACAATGTTTTTTCTAATTCGATCAAAAAAACTGAATGAGCCGCAATGCATGTGAATACGAGGCGGTCCTGAATAAATAACGTCATGAAGCAGTCCGTAAAGAGGTCGAGAGGAGGTCATCGGTTCTCTCCCGACCCCGACGCCTGTATATTTGGAGTTTGCATGTCTCTGTCTCTCTCTGTGTCTTTTATCTCCGGTTGCCACGGTCTTTCACTCCACGTTTATAATCAACTTGCGTTCAGAGTGTTCGGCCGCGACACATTCCCACGCGACGACGATAGGCCGCTTCCGTTGGGCTGCTACGGTTTGCGGCCTAGGTAGCTTGCGAAAAAAAGCCACACAGATGCCAAAATAAAAATACAAAAATCTATTTAGCACGCGGCTCCTGAGCCGCAGGTTTTCGACCCCTGCTCCAAGCTGTTCGATCTGCACGAATTTCTTCATTGCAAGGCCCGCGGGCCAATAGCGGCCCCTGATGGCCTTTAGCGCGGCCTCTGACGTGTGGCCCCCGACAATGCACAACACGTGATGACCCCCCCATCGTGCTGTCAAACCCTATGGCGGCCCTCACACTGATGTCTTATCGGCGGAAATGTGGCCCCCCCCCCCTCTGAAAATGAGTGAAGAAGACTTCCATAGATTCGTGCAGAGACCCATAGACTCGTGTAGATACCCTTAGATCAGTGGTCTGGATTGCAGGGCCTGCGGGCCACTGGCGGCCCCTGGTGGCCTTTGGCGTGGCCCCTGATGTGCCGCCCCCGACAATACACAAATGCGACAATGCTCCCCATCACCATCATCATCATCAAAGTGCTGTCAATTCCAATGTTTTCAGAGGCGTGGTGGTAGCCCTCACACCGATGATGTCTTATCGGCGAAAGTGCCCCCCCCGAAAATGAGTGAAGATCACTGCTCTAGAGGGTCTCCTGTAGAGGAGCTCTTCTAGACGAGACCCTCTAGAGGAATGTAGTCTACAGCCTCCGCCTCTCTCCTCTTACCGCCCGATGCACGAACGAGCGGTGGATCCGTTGACTCGGCAGGCAGCAGCTACAACGCCAGGTGCCGGGGGGGTGGGGGAGGGTGGGGGAGCCCCAATGCCATGGCCGCAACTTTGGGCCCCGTCTCGTTATTGGTCACGGGGCGAGAGGTCGGGATGGGTTCCCTGCACTCTCGGGCAAAGATTCTGATTCCGTGACAGCAGCAGCAGGAGTTAGGGTGGGAGAGGGTCGGTGAGGGTGGGACGGGAGGGCGGGGTGGCTGCTGTACGGAGTCCTCTAGCAGACAGGGTCAGGGTGCGCTGCTGTGCCAAGCCCTGTAGTTCAGGGCTTGAGACAGCAGGAGTCGGGATGGAGCGGACGGTAACGGGAGGGGGGGCTGCGGTGCGCATGCCGTGCGCTGCATGGGGTGTGCTGTACGCCGTGTGCCCGCGCAGGCTGCGTGCGCTGGAGGGCGAGCGGGAGTCGCTGCGTGAGCGGCTCAAGTCGAGTCAGGAGACGGCGCTGAGCGCGGAGGAACGGGCGCTGCGCATGGACGCGATGTTCGCTCAGGAGCAGCAGCGCATCAAGGTGTCGCGGAAACACATCGCGCGGACGTGCACGCATACACGCACCCGGACACACGTGCGCACAGATACACGCGGATATGCACACGTGCAGATATAGACAAATACACACGCGCGCATACAAATGTACACAAATACACATATACACAAATGTAAATGAATATGTCACGAATATACAAATATATGCGGATACACACGCATGCAAATGTACACGTATACATGCATACATATACGAGAGCACACAATACAAATTTAAATGTTATACAACTAAATCAACAACAACAGTCGCCGTTCACCACGAAGTGTCAGTGACGTCACCACGGCACTTGTGCCAGGCCAGGTGCACTTTGAGGCCACTTGAGGTGTCGAAGGCTGCCTGCGGGCAGGACGACACGGGACAGACCCAAGTGTTATGGGTTGACCGACGTGCCAGGCTAGGTGCAGGAGATCACCACGGCACACGCCCAGGTGTTACGGTTGACTGACTGAGATGCCTCTTCTTGGTTCTTTCGGTAAAGTCACGTAGAAGGGAAGTAATAAAATAAAAAAAATAAAAATAAAATAATTCTCACAACGTTTCGGCTACAACGCAAGCAACCTGAAGACGGCTGCTTGCTTTGTAGCCGAAACGTCGTGAGAATTATTTTATTTTTATTATTTTATTACTTCCCTTCTACGTGACTTTACCGAAAGAACCAAGAAGATGAATCCCTGCAGTCACGAAAGCTTTAAATCGAAATTTGACTGAGATGTGCCACCAATTGCCGCCAGGGGCTCTGCTCGTTGTTGCCAGCGTCGCTCCTCTTCCCCCAGTTGTTGTTGGGAGGGCACCTGCTATCAGTGGCCCTGTAGCGTCCTAAACGATCCTCCTCCATACGTACACAGGCAAAGATGAAGATCCCCCCGATACCCTTGAACAGACTTTCAGCGCAAGTGCTGTTTCACGAGCGCCCTTGAAGACCGGCACGGCACACGAGGGGGTCGGTTCGGCCAGCACCACGCTCGTGCATCCTGTGTGCCGCTGTGTGAACGTAACGAAATCCTGTGATGGTGCCGCTCTTGTTTGCGCTACGTTGCACCCAATGTCCTGCTTCTCAGCCGTTGTCAATTTCACCGATACAGCGATTTATTGTGAAAATTCCGTCACATTTCCTATGATTGCTTTTTCATTGCTTTCATGGCTTTATTTTAGTGATTTAGAAAAGTGTATTGGTTTAGCCATGTTTGTTTGTTGTAGTACAGAGTTAGACTGATGGCCTTAATCTAAGTTGTCTTATGGTTGTTGTTGTTGTTGTTTGACTTGCATCCCACTGGGATTTTTGCACAATATTTGCTGTTTTTCTTGGATTTTCTGTTTGCACTTAGTCACATATTCACTTTAAGATGTTTTTGTTCATGTTTTAGTTTTTGTTTGTTACGGTTGCACCCGATTCAAGAACCGAATACCTAAGAAATTAACTTGAACTTGAACTGGTGTAGCCACGGAGCACAACAACACAACCCTTCCCTCCAGCTCTTCTCACTCCGCCACCTCAAGTCCTCTTCCCCCCCCCACCCCTCCTCCACATCCTCCTCGTCTCTGCGTAGGAGCTGGAACAGACTCTGGCGCAGGTGAAGAACCAGAAGTTTGCGCGGGAGCAGCAGCTGCAGGAGGGCAGGGTGCGCGAGCGGCAGGCCGAAGTGGCGATGGCCGGGGCGAGGGCCTCGATGGCCGCCTCGGCAGCAGACTCCAGCGCCTCGACGCGGACGCCATCAAGCAGAGCAACGTCATCTACAGCCAGGTGGGACGACCACGCGGGAGACACGCCTGGAGACGCGCGGGGAGACGCGCGGGGGAGACGCGGGGAGACATGGGGAGATGTGGGCGAGGACGCGGGGATGATGCGGGGAGACACCGCCCTGGAGACACGCGGGGAGGAGATGCGGGGAGATGCGGGGAGACGCACGCCTGGATGCGACGCGTGCGAGACGCGGGGAGACACAGGGGAGATGTGGGGAGACCGCAGGGAGGACGTGGCTACGCTACGGGGAGATGCAGAGATGCACGCCTGGAGACACGCGGGGATGATGTGGGGAGGAATGGCAGGGAGGTATCCAGACACCGTGAGATGCGGGGACATGCGGGGCAGACACGGGGAGATGTGGGGAGGACACGGGGAGATTTGGGCGAGCAGGGAGCGTGGCCTACGTTACGGGGAGACGCAGAGATGCAAGCCTGGCACATAAGGGCAGGTGCCCAGACAATGGTTGAGACCAGGGGACACAAGGTGAGACGGGTGATACAGGTGAGATTTGGGGACACGTGGGGAGATATGTAGAAAGACAATGCCTGGAGACACGCGGGCAGGTGCCCAGAAACTGGTGAGACGGGGAGATGCGGGTGCGATGTGGGAAATGGGAGAGACGCAAGGGTGATACGGGGACATATGGGGGTGGGGTGGGGGGGCACAGGGACACACTGTGGCAGAAGCGAGACACCGGGAGACACGGAGAGGCACGGGGGACACGTGGAACACGTGGGGACACGGGGGAGATGCAAGCGGTGCACAGGAAAACCTCAGGAAATAAAAAATTCATAAACAAATCATTAAATAGCCCCAAAACAAAAGAGGCACAAACAACAACAACAACAACCAAACAGAGACGTTAGTCCATTCAGTCTCAACATCCTAGAATACAGTCCGCACCTCCAATAAGCACGGTTGGCTACGTACGGTGCGACAGAAGTTCAACATATACACACACGCACATACAACTTCTCACGATGAGGTAGTGCCATAAATTACGACTAATGTCGACCAATCGGGTCAAAAACGTGGTCAATCTGACGCGATCGTCCCAGCGTGCCACGCGTCGCTGTGTTCGCGCACAGGCGAGACGCCGGGAGACACGGAAGAAAGAAGGGAGGCACGGGCGACACGTGGGGACTCAAGCGAGATGCAGGGGACACACGGGGGGATTTTGTAAAAAAAATAATAAACAAATCAAGAAATAGCACCGAAAGAAAAGCACAAAAAACAAGTCATCACAGCGGAGAAGTTAGTTGATTAAGTCTCAACATCCCAGAATGCAGTTCGCACCCTACGATCAGCACGGTTGTCTGCGTATGGTGCGAAAGAAGTTCAACACATACAACGTCTCACACAGGCTAGGAAACCTTCACAGGAGGGATGATGATAATTGTTTTTTTACCCTTTTATCTGGCAACAAAACTGACACCTTTTTTACGAGGAGTCATGTTTGCATAGACCACAATACCTGCAGTCGTAATGCAAACAAAAAACATGACTGTGATAATGTATGCACTGTCCTTGAAGTTGATTGGTCCACACCCGAGACAGCTTTCCTTAGAGCCTAGTCTCACATGGGTTGGACCAGATGACGCCAAAAGGCGCACAACTCAAAGACAATGCACCATCAGAGTTTTACTGGCAAATGAGGTACCAATGGTGTAAATGCTTACCGCGAGCTCTCATACTCTGATGGTGCATTGTCTTTGAGTTGTGCGCCTTTTGGCGTCATCTGGTCCAACCCATGTGAGACTAGGCTCTAAGGAAAGCTGTCTCGGGTGTGGACCAATCAACCTCAAGGACCATGTGAGACTAGGTTCTAAGGAAAGCTTTACATTATGACTGCAGGTATTGTGGTCTATGCAAACATGACTCCTCGTAAAAAAGGTGTCAGTTTTGTTGCCAGATAAGAGGGTAAAAAACAATTATCATATTTTTTACTGCCAAATGAGGTTCCAATGGTGTAAAGGAGGGATGATGATGAGGCAGTGCCAGAAAGCTAACAATTTAGACCAATCGGCTACAAGTATCCAAATAAATAAAACGCAATCAATTTCGCACAATGATCACAGCGTGCGCGCATCGCCGCCGCGTTCGCGCCGCCCGCGTTTTGCAGGACTTCCAGCTGGCGCAGCTGGAGCGCCGCCTCGCCCAGCTGCAGGGGGACATCTCCAACGAGGAGAAGGAGCAGCTGGAGGCTCAGGTGGCGAAGCTCAAGGCCCAGCTGAGCGAGAGGAATGACACGCACGCGCTGCTGAGCGCACAGCTCCGCAGGGTACAGGTAAAGCCTTTGAGGTCGTCGTCATCATCAGCCATGTGCCGCGCTGCATACTTTAAACGCGTGATGTTGATCCAAGTGCGGAGGGGAAAACCGGAGGGCCCGGAGAAAAATCCACATGACCACGGGGAGAGAGGAACACGCAAAGGATACAACATGCTTCTTGGTTCTTTCTGTAAAGTCACGTAGAAGGGAAATAATTAAATAATAATAATAAAACATTTAATAATTCTCACGACGTTTCGGCCACAACGCAGCGTCTGAATTTTCATTCAGATGAATTTTCATTCAGACGCTGTCTTTCCGACAGACCTGTTCTTCACCTGAGGACGGCTGCTTGCGTTGTGGCCGAAACGTCGTGAGAATTATTTTGTTATGTTTTATTTTATTATTTTATTATTTCCCTTCTACGTGACTTTACCGAAAGAACCAACAAGATGAATCCCTGCAGTCGCGAAAGCTTTTAATCAAAATTTATACAACATGCGTCGGGGTCAGGATCAAATCCACGACCCCCTGCATACCGGGCGAGAGAGTTAACATCTCCTAGCCACAGTGGCACTAGACCCAGGGCTAGAAACCCAGAATAATAATTAAAATTAATCAAAGTAAAATAAAATAAAAATCACGACGTTTCGGAGGCAACACAAGCTTCCGTCTTCAGGTGGAACCGTCACAGCACGATTGCTGTATCACTTGATACACTTGATACAGCTATCGTGCT